TTCTTTTCATTACACCAAGATCACACTGCTAAAAAGTGGTCAAGGGTCTGTTCTAGAGTAAACACCAGCTACAACGGTTCCAGTACAATGGCAGACCTTGCACTCTACCTTTTGCCTGGCTGCTGACCCCTTCTACAAAGTCTCCTCCGATCTGAATATAACAGGTTCCTAGAAAGCAAGGCCTATCGGTCCTATTTATTTCCCCAGCACTTAAGAAATGCTTTTTCATTTGCTCATTCCTAAACCTTTCCTTAAGTATAAGTGAATTACCAAAAAAAAAAAAAATCAACATCTAATCAGTGAGAATATTGATTCCCTGCCCATGTGCCCTTATACTTGTCAAAGGGGACACTCAGTAGGTGACATTACTCCAGCACCCTTCCCATTCAAATACTCCCCCCAAATTTACACTCCTTTCCCCTTAGTCTCTTTTTTAAACAAACTGAGAGAACTGAATGCTGACTCAGGAAACAAACAGATTGTCAAAAACTGGCATACTTGGATCAGCAGAAGCCAGGGCTTAACAAAGATTATTTCTTGTCCTGGGCAACACCCCCAATGCCAAGCTGGTCTCCTCTAAATAACACACAGTTCCAATCCACTAGCACACTGTAGCTCCTACTCCCCCCATATTTAGGACCTTGGCTAGGATCACAGGTACACAGAGGTGGTTAAAGGAAGGAGAGCAGTTCTGGCAAACACTCGGCAGGTGGGAAACCAGGTGCAAGTCAGACAGAAATTAGGAGTGACGAGCTCTCCTAACCCCACACCAGTCACAGTCCCTCTGCTCAGCCTACAAACTGAGTGGAAAGGGTGGCAGAGAAATGAAGCAAGTATGTGGGGGAGATAGGTGATATAGGACACTACCCGAGAGTGTGATAAAGCAAGTGTGAAGGGAGAGCTGATTGTTAAATTCTTCGTGTGAGCATCTGCATCTTGGAAATTGGCAAATGCTACAAATTGAGGCTTCATTGGTTGTGAATAGTTTAGACTTAAGAAAGCGATGGGGAAAATGTTAATGTAGATTAAATTTAAAAGTTATGTCCTTAGGTACATACTCTCCTCTGGAGAACCAGTGGTTAAACATTTAGCAGCATGCCACTGGACTCAACACAAGTTATGGTTGAAAATGGGAGATGAGGGGCAGCTAGGTGGCGCAGTGGATAGAGCACCGGCCCTGGATTCAGGAGGACCTGAGTTCAAATCTGACCTCAGACACTTGACACTTACTAGCTGTGTGACCCTGGGCAAGTCACTTAACCCCATTGTCTAGCCCCCCCCCCAAAAAAGAAAAGAAAATGGGAGATGAGCTTACAGAGTTAGATGAGGCAGAATTTAAAAACTTGCTAGGAGCACATAGAAGTCTTAGGCCTACCCTAACACAAATGCATTAGGCTTCTGGTTACCATTTAATCAGTTTGTTTTCTATTAAGAATTACTATACCACGTTGGTAGCCAGATTTCAATGAAATTGAACCTACTATTCTTTCTCCCTTCACATAGGGTAAGGATCTCCTAGATCTCTGAAGGTCCATCCAAACTCTTTGGCCACATTAGAGATCTTTTGTAGCAATTACTACTCAGAAAGACTCAACATCCTGGGGCTTGGAAACATTTTTGTTACAGATTTTGATGTTCTTAATAGTTAATGTATATATGTCTTGTGTCTCTAGCAGCAGATAATGAAGGGCTAAGGCCCACTACAAGGAAGAATTACTTGTAAATCAGGGTTTAACAATCCTAGTTAGTTTTTTAGATTATATGCCCTCATATAAGAACTTTGAACATCACTGAGTTGGATCCCTTAAAGCCACACTACTTTTTTTTTAATACAAACTTCACAGAAGACTCCAACTCAGTCAAAAGGCCACACCCAAGGCCTGAGAAGGCCACATTTGGCTTTGAGGCCCCAGGTTCCCCACGCTTGGGGCTCACCTTAGAGAGAAGGGAATTTAGGTCTTTTGTGGTCAAAAGTGATTTGTCCAAGCACACAAAACTTAGTGACCACAGCTGAACCAGTGCTAAGGCCTCTTTACTCATCAAATGGTCTTTGTTTACAATAAACTCCTCTGCCTTTCTTACTATCTCAGTGCCTATTACCGAATGATTGCATTGCCAAGGAAGAACTCAGATTGTCAATAATTTCACATTCAATCACCCTCATTAAGCATTTACAAAGTACTTCCTCAATGCCAGGGACTATGCTAGGCTATTAGCTTTCCAAGACCAATAAATAAATAATCAATCTTTACTCTTAAGAAGCTTATATTCTATCAGGGGAAACAATTTGTACACACATAAAATGTACCTGTTAACACTTGAGGAACATTCAAAAGACAGCTACAAATAGAAATTTTATCCACGGGTTTAGTAATTGTTCTGCTCCACTAGATAAAGTAACAGAATTTCAGGGTTGGAAAGAACCCAAGAGGCCAACAGGTTCAACCTATACCTTAACAAGAATCCTTTCTACAACATCCTTAGAAGGGTTCTCCAGCCTTTGTTTGAAGACTAATCCCTAGTGAAGGGCCATTCCTTCCCTCCTAAGGCAGACCATTTCACTTGTGGATACTTCCCATTTTTAGGAAATACTTTTCCTTGCAAGCAGCTAGGTGGCTCACTGGGCCTGGAATTAGAAAGACCTGAGTTCAAACCTGACCTTGGATAATTACTAGCTATGTGACCCTGGGCAATTCACTTAACTTCTGCCTGCCTCAGTTTCCTCAACTATAAAATGGGGGTGATAATAACATCTACCTTCCAGGGTTGTGAAGCTCAAATAAGATAATATTTGTAAAGCACTTAGTATAGTCCTCAGAACACAGGAGTCAGTTGGTAAGTTCTTGTTCATTTTCTCCTTTCCATCAAATCTATCTCTTTACAACTTCTACCATTGTTCCTACTTCTATCTCCTAGGGCAAGAAGAACCAATTTAATCCCTTTTTCATAAGACCATCCTTGAAATACTTCAAGACATCTATCCTGCGCCCATTCACACCTATCCCCTCACGACTACTACTAAGTCATCTCTTCAGCCTAAATATTCCTAGTTCCTCTAGTTAGTCCTTATACAACAAAATCATGAAACTCTTCATTTTCCTGATCACTCTCCAGCTTATTAATGACCTTCCTAAAATGTAGCCCAGGAAACTACATGTGATCATCTCAGACAGAATTTTGCTAGACTATTAGGGTTTCAAGAACAAACAAACAAAAATCAGTATTTACCCTCAAGGAACTTACATTTTATCAGAGGACATAACACATACACCTATCAAGTATATATGCCAACACTTGAGAACATTCAAAACAGAGGTACAGAAAGAAGTTTAATTCAAACTGTTGGTTCATATTAAGCTTGCAGTTAACTAAATCCTCAAGGTCTTTTTCAAATGGTCTAGCCATCTTTCACCCTTCCTGTGCTTATGAAATTTGCTTTCTGAACCCCAAGGATGACTTTATATTTATCCTGAGTTTTACCCAATGTTCTAGCCTATCAAGGTCTTTTCGAGTCCTGATTTTGTCTCCCAGTTTCACGTCACCTATAAATGTGATAAGTATGCCATTTATACCTTTATCTAAGTCAGCGATAAACATGTTAAGCAGCACAGAACAAAACCTAGATCCCTGGGGTCCTCCACTAGACAGAGCCCAAATTGATATGGAACACTTATGACTATTCTTTGAGTCTAGGTCTAACCATTCAATTAATTCTGAAACCTACATCTTTCCCACATCTTAGCCTACATCTTTCTGAATCCTACATCTTTCCATTTGACCACAAAAATAGGACAAGGCACTCTGACAAATGCTTTGTAAAAATCTGAGCAAGCTCTTTCTACAGAACTACCCTGACTTACCAATCTACTAAATCTGTATCTATCTGTCTACCTATCTATACATATATATACATATATTGTGTGTGTGTGTGTGTGTGTGTGTATGTAAAAAATAAGCTGATGTGACCAACAGAACTGAAGGCAGGAAGATCTTTGTACCCTCAGTGTGTGGCCCATAATGGGTACTTTGCCTGTGGATTGACCTGTTCCTGATAACACCATTTAGGCTTTTTTCAATTACTGCTTTTAAACAATTCATAAAATCATAGAGCTAGAGCTCTGGGGGGGGGAGGGTGAATCTCAGGGGCTAGCTAGGGCAATTTCATTTTACAGATGAGGAAACAGAGGTCCAGGGAGGTTAAAGGCCTTATCTAAGGTCATAAAGGTAGTATCAGAGATGGGATATGAACCCAGATCCTGATTCTAGAGTCAGTGCTCTTTCCACTGTCAACCCAGAAGTAGATCTGATAATATTGATTATGGTATCCTATTTTTAGGTCTTTCAAAAATAAAATAAAATACCATGGCTCTGGCTATGATATTTTAAAATAGACATTTAAAAAAATTAATGAGTCCAATAGGCTGTTTAATAGTACCATTTAAATAATAGCTACTAAATACTAAGTACTAATAGCTACTAAAACTAGACTTTTGAGTCTAGTCTTTTAAATTAGACTTCAGGCCAGGTCCAATTCTGGACCGAACATCATGTGTAGCACAGTACCTAGCATTCCAATGAAAGGTTCACGTCAAGGGGCCTTCATCACCCCCAGCCTCAGCTACATCCCTAAGCACAAGGGAAGCCCATTCACTGCTCACGTTAACTCCTACTTACTCTGGCTTCCAGGGCACCACTACAAGTCACGTGGGATCTCTATCTAGGGCTGTCACAGTGGCAGCTGCCAGAAAGCCTCAGAGAGAGGAAAGACAGCTTTGGCGGGCAGGGAAGAGAAGAGAAGGGAATTTCCAAGGGGTTGGCAATTGGGGCTGCACAGGGTGAGCTCATACAAATGCAAACTGCACCAGGGTAATTTTAAAAAATGATCTTCCTTTCTCATTCCCTCCCAAAGCACCTAATTTCCTGTGCAAATACGTATGACAGTGGCATCCAGTCATTAAGAGCTCCTTCCCACCGACCTAACCCCAGCAGAAAGCACTTGCCTGACCAAAGACCACTAAGCTCTCCCTCTCCTCCGAGTAGCCAGCAACAGCCTCGACTCCTCATAGCTTCGCCAGGCTCAAACAAGCTCATATAGAAGTAGCCAGGGGTGGGAGGGTAGGTTATTTGGGCCTGCCCATTGGCAGGCTGCGCTGTCACTCCGCCATCCCAGCTGGCTCTCCGAGACAACAGCCCCAGCCCTGGCAAGTGGGACGGGCTCCAAGACACTGGCCAAAGGCCTTTCGTGTTCCCAAGCCTCCAGGATAGGAAGTAACATTTTCATTGGCCCTCTGTAGAGACAGGCACTTGTAAGAGCCAGTAGGCTGTGTGATGAGACACCTGGTATGTCTCCCAGCTCCCTGCAAACTGAGAAGCCAAAAAGCTTAGCAGGGCCCACTGGGAAAAAAAATTAAGCCCTTTGGCCTGGAAATTAATCTAGGATGCTCCGTGGGTAACTCCAAACCTTGGATGGAGGATGCGAGTAAGAAGGAAATGATCTTACTGCAATAGGAGAAGCTAGCATTAATACAGGAATGAGATAGGCTATTAAAAACAATAATCTTGCTAGGAAGATACTTCTGGCATAGACGTCTGTGATCTAAGTGTCTTAAACGACATCAGAGGTCATAAGACATGATGGTTTTCTGAGGATGCTTTTGGGGAAAAAAAACCGGTTGCTTTCCCCACTTTTGCTACAGTCACCCAGTCTACAGTGGAGTCAGGGCTCTGGACAGCCCCCTCCCCTCCGGACCTCTTTCAACTAGGGAAAGGTAATTCTCCTTGCCTAGATGCAGACAGGTACTGTGAACGGTAGTGAGTGGGATGCCTCCAAAGCCTTTACCAAATGTGAAGGAATAAAGGAAGAGATCCTGGAGGAGGCTAGAAGCACTGGACAACAAGAACCATCTAAAAAGAGACCTGGTGACAGCTAATTCAACCTGGAGTATGACAGACACTTTTCCATGTTGGGTTGGTGTAAGGAATTTTATTGTGTATTTTTTATTCTTGATATCTTGTCAAGCTTTTTTTGTCCCTTGAAGAATATGCTATATTTATGAAAACATTCTTTTTAAAAAGCAATCATTGGGTCCCTTATTATCAGGATGATCCGATCTAGCCTTAATTTTGTTAAATTTCCTTGGAGGAAGGGGCAGCTAGGTGGCATAGTGGATAGAGCACTGGCCCTGAAGTCAGGAGGACCTGAGTTCAAATGTGGCCTCAGACCAAACACTTGACACTTACTAGCTGTGTGACCCTGGGCAAGTCACTTAACCCCAATTGCCTAAAAAAAAAGTTTCCTTGGAGGAGAAAGCTCAGCAAAGCTATAGATGGTTCAGTGGGGGGGTGTTGGACCTGGAGTCAGGAAGTCCCAAATTCGAATTCTACCTCAGAAATCATTTAATCTCTCTCAGGCAAATTTAAATGAAGGGGTAGAACTCTATGTCCTCCAAAGTCCATTCTACCTCTAAATCTATGATCAAAAGGTGAAAGGGACTTTAGAAAGCATCTGATGATAGAATCACAGAATTTTAGGGTTGGTCAGTGGCCATTTAATCCAACCCACAAATGAAAGGAATCTCCACTTTAACATTCCCTAGTGATTCAACCCCATCATTTTATTGATGAGAAAACTGAGGCCCAGAAAGGAGAAATTACTTGTAAACTAGAAGAACCAGATTTCAAACCCAGGTCCCCAGACTAAAAACCTTTCCATTCCATTCTCTTGTCCCTAGAAATCCTGCCTAGTAATCTAGCATGAGGAGATTTTTTTTTCCTGCCTCTTTCATAGAGGTAGCTAGTATCTATTCTGACTGTTCTCCAGGCCATAATTTCCAGCATGATATAAGTTTATAACTGGAAAGAGACATCACTAGCATAATTTTAACTAGAATTCTTTGCACATAGTATGGGAAGGGAGGAAACTTCATATATATCGTATATTAAGTGCTTAATATGGTAAGCCACCCTGTTTATAGCCTTTTCAATAGCCTGGCACAGGGCGCTTTTCCATTGGCATCAATCAAGCTTAACTTCTCTCCAACAGTAATGAGTATTTGCAGTTAAGACAAAGTAGACCAGAGCCTGAAAGTTGAATAGAGTTGGGGGAGGGGTATAGAAAAACAGGAGTCTGTGCCCAGAATCCCATGTTCCTGCCTTTAGTAACAGTTCACATTTATACATCATGTTATGCACCTCAGGTTTGATCCTCACAAAAAAACCTGGGAAAGACAGGTAATATAAGTATCATGATCATCCCATTTTATATAAATGAGGAAAATGAGTCTCAGAAAGATTAAATGACTTGCCCAATGTTACACAGCAAATAAAAAGCAGTAAGGACCTGAACCTAGATCTTAGGAATCCACATTAGAGTCTCTTTTTATTAAATTATTTATTTATTTGTTAAAATAATACCTAAAATTTAAATAGAATCTACTTTGTACTAGGAAGGGCAGCTAGGTGGCGGGCAGTGGATAAAATGCCAGGCCTGGAGTCTGGAAAACTCATCTTCCTGGGTTCAAATTTGGCCTCAGACACTAACTAGCTGTGTGATCCTGGGCAAGTCACTTAACCCTGTTTGCCTCAGTTTCCTCATCTGTAAAATCAGCTGGAGGAGGAAATGGCAAACTACCCCAGTATCTTTGCCAAGAAAACCCCAAATGGGGTCCCAAAGATTTAGAAACAACTAAACAATAATAAAATAAAAACAAACTCACCATATACCAGAAACTAATATTATCTCATGTGATTCTCACAACAACCCTAGCAGGCAGGTGATACTATTATTCCCCATTTTACAGATGAGAAGAGTAAGGCAAAAAAAAAAGAAAGAAAGAAAAGGAAAGTTTAAATGACTTATCCAGGGTCACATAACTAGTAAGGATCTGAGGTTGGATTTGAACTCAGGTCTTTCTGACTCCAGGCCCAGTGCTCCATGTAGCCTCCTCCAAACACTCCCTTTATTCTCCTGTTCATCCAATTCTTTCCCCACAAATGTTCCTCCTACTAGAAATCAGGAAATTAATTAATTCACCCTCTTCTTGGAGGGAAAGAGATATAAACCCTACCCCAGAAAAACAGTTGGCAGCCCAGCTGGTTTGGTGGCTCTCAAGGCAATTAACAAGTCAACTCAGATGAGCTTAACTAGAGTTTAGGCTGCTTAAGGGAAGTCTCCGTCCTGTCCTTCACCATTTTCTTTACTGCCTTGAGTAAAATTTCTGCAATGAAATAACGAGGACTCTTTTGGAGAAATGGTTGTTGGTGGATTTGTTGATCTTTTGTCCAGTAAGACCTACTCACCTGACCATCTTTTTACCAGTTTATAAAAAGGATTGGGGATCAGAGCCAGAGTTAGCCAAAGAGGGTCATTAGAGGAAGAATGCTGTTGTACTACAACATAATGTCGCACCTCCTCATTATGTGCACTCTTCTTTCCCCTTCTCCTACCAAAGGATTTGTGGTCCAGTTGTCCTGATCTGTATCTTGCCGCTGGTCCCAAATGGCTCCAGAAGAGAAAGTGAGGCTAATGACCTTGAACAGTCCTTCCTCACTTAAATCCAACTCACTTGCAAGTCATGGCATCATCTTCCTGATGTCATGTTCTCTTCGAGAACAAAGGACAAACAACAACAACAACAACCAAAGGATTTAGAATCAGAAATGATCTTTGTATTTATCTAATCCATTTTATAGATTAGGAAAATCAAGCATCAAGAGGGAAGAGATGATTTCTCCAAGATCCATAGGCAGCAAATAGCAGAGCTTCAGGATTCAAACCCTTTGATTTGAATCACATTTTGATTCCTATTCCAGCAATCATTCTACTCTTCTACACTTTGGGCAGGAGTATATTGTTACATATACACAGGTAGGAGAGCATAGTGAGACTTGGCACTTTGGTTTATTTGGGCCTAGAAACCAAGTTGCATGAATGCCCATGGAAGATGTCATACAGAACCCTGATTATATCAAACCTCGCCTTTCTCTTCAATATCACTGAACAGAACTTTTTGTTGTTATTGATAGGTAAAAAGAGTTCACAGACGGCCAAAAGAACTTAATCAACATGGCATCGTAAAAAGAGTGCTAGATTTGGAGTCAGAAGACTTGGTTTCAAATACCAGCTGTTACCTCAGTTTACTCATCTGTAAAATGAAGAGGTTGCCTGAATGACCACTAAGGCCCTATTGACCTGACTGTGAACAGGAAGTACGAGACTTGTTGTCAAGAGATAAATGAAGTGTTTATAAGCCCAGTGCCCTATAAGGAAGTGAGAAACATACACTGAGGTTGCTAATGGCAGGAACTCACCATTAAGGTATAGCAAAGCTCTATTCCAAAGGTAGCCGAGATAACTAGAATGCTTGAATCCTGAGGTCAGGTCTGATAAGAGAACAATAATTTCTGTCATAAACTTTCATGTAGATGAGTCTTAGTCTGCAAAGACAATGGGAAGGCCAGAAACATTTTCTTTTTCTTGGAATTAATGAGTCATTCTGTTAGAATAAGGGCAGAACTTTAGGTATTCAAGGAGGTAACTTCATCCCCCTCACTTTGTGGATGCAATGGTAGTATTAATCTCCTGACCTACATCTCTGACTCTATCCACCACCAACTGAAACCTCTTACTGACTCTCCCCACCAATTTCTTCTGCTTCATAAGTTTTCTAAATTGCCTTGTTCTTTACCAATAAAATTTATCTGTTTCCTTTGATGGATGACTTAAAACAATATTTTCTCTCTAGACGTATTTATTTTTCCCCACAAGTGGCCAATGTCCAGTTCTTATAGCACACTCAGAAAGGTTAAACTCATTTTTAAAAAGCAGTTTTTATAAATCCTGGATCAATCTTAAAATTTAACTTTTTGAAAATGAAATACACATGTTATTTTTCTTGGCTTTGGGGCCTTTTGAGGTACGGCTATAAAGTAATGTAACTGATTTTTCTCATGAGCTACATCAAATGGCTGTAAAGGCAATTCGAAAAGGAGAGAGACAGAAATACTTTGAGCAAAGGCAGCAACATGGCAATAAACATGTGACCTCCTCAAATGACTATGATGAAGTGCTCTGACTCGTCTGAATTTCACAGGATCATGGAATCTCAGAGTGGACAGGGATATCAGTGGCCATGTTGCCCAACATACCTGACAAGTGGTCATCTGGCCTTCAAGACACAAGGCTTCTAGTCCTGGCAATATT